GCGCCATTGCACTCCAGCCTGGGTAACAAGAGTGAAACTCTGTCTCAAAAAAAAAAAAGATGAATAAAATGGGTAAATCCCTAGCAAGACTGACAAAAAAATATTACCAGTATCAGAAATAGAAAAACGAATGATCACTATAGACCATACAGACAATAAGATAATAAGATAACACTTATTCACTATAACTATTAGCACTGTCGTGCAGAAATACAAAGAAGCTGACTCCCCAAATTATGGTTTATTTTTAAAAAAACAGAACTGGAACATTAGCCATTATTATTATTATTATTTTATTTCATGAATTTCTCCTCAGAAACATTAACCATTATTTTTAAGCAACCTTATTTGACTGTTTTTTTCCGATTTTCACTATCTATATTTACCTGTCTTTCCTATTCATTAAAACAACTTTTCTGGCTGGTTTCCTCATTACTGAATTAAATGATATGTCTTACTTATTTAAAACAATTCTGAAACTAGGATTAGAAAAAAGCTTCACAAATATGACAAAGATTTTCTACCAGCAAGCCTACAGCCAACTTCATAGTGGCAAATTATTATTAAAAGCTCCATTTACTCAAATATTAGGAACTAGTCAAGAATATGTGTTATCATCATTTCTATTTAGCATTATGCCAGAGTTCAAAATAATAAGACAAAGACAAGACAAAAGGATTAAAAAGAGGAAAAAAAGATTATTATTCAGAGGACATAATTATGTGCACAGAAAATTCAAAAGCATCTACTCACAAGTATTAGAATAGAGAAATTCAGCAAGACAGCTGAACAAAAAGGTCAATACATCAAAATCTATTTAATTTCTCTATATTAATAACATAGAAAATGAAAATTTCCAAAAGAATTCTATTTAAAATAATTTCAAAAAACATTGGTTATCTAGGAATAAATTTAACGTTAAGATACGCAAGATACTGAAGTGTGAAGTATAAAGAAAATCCAAATAAATGAAGGGGGTATATCATGTTCATAGAGACTTGATATTAGAAAGATGTTACCTCTCACCCTATCGATCTAAAGCAAAACTGTCAAGGCTGAGCATGGTGGCTCACGCCTGTAATCCCCAGTACTCTGGGAAGCTGAGGTAGGTGGATAACCTGAGGTCAGCAGTTTGAGGCCAGCCTGACTAATATGGTGAAATGCTATCTCTACTAAAAATACAAAAATTATGGCTGGGCATGGTGGCATGCGCCTGTAACCTCAGTTGCTCGGGAGGCTGAGGCAGGAGAATCACTTGAACCCAGGAGGTGGAGGCTGCAGTGAGCTGAGATTGTGCCACTGCACTCAGGTATGGGCAACAGAATAAGACTCCAACTCAAAAAAAAAAAAAAAAAAAAAAAAAAAAAAAAAAAAAAAAAAAAAAAAAAAAAAAAAAAAAATCAGCCAGGAGTGGGTGGTGGTGTGCACCTGTAGTCTGAGCTCCTCAGAAGGCTGGGACATGAGAATTCCTTGAACCTGGGAGGCAGAGGTTGCAGTAAGCCAAAATCATGCCACTGCACTCCAGCCTGGGCAACAGAATGAAACTCCGTCCCCCAAAAAATAAATAAATAAAAATAAAGCAACACCGTCTAATAGAAATATAACGAGATCCACATGTACAATTAAAACATTTTTAGTGGCTGGGCATGGTGGCTCATGCCTGTAATCCCAGCACTTTGGGAGGCCGAGGCGGGCAGATCACAAGGTCAAGAGAACAACCATCCTGGCCAACATGGTGAAACCCCATCTCTACTAAAAATACAAAAGTTAGCTGGGCGTGGCGGCGTGTGCCTGTAGTCCCAGCTACTCAGGAGACTGAGGCAGGAGAACTGCTGGAACCCAGGAAGCGGAGGTTGCAGTGAGCCAAGATTGTACCACTGCACTCCGCCTGACACCTGGTGACAGAGTGAGACTCTGTCTCAAAAAAAAAAACCTCAATAAAAACATTTTTAGTGGCCACATTAAAAACAAAAACAGGTAAAATTAATTTTAATCATAATTTTATTTAATCCAGTATATCAAAAATACTAATGATTTTTACATTTTTGGTATTAATCCTTGAATCCAAGTGAAATCAATTTTAATAATAATTTTATTTATTAATGAATGCTACATTTTTGGTATTAAATCCTTGAATCCAGTGTATATTTTATGGCTCTAGTACATATAAACTTGAACTAGCCACATATTACATGTTCAATAGCCACATGTGGCTAGTGGCTACCATAATGGACAGCACAGATTTAGACATCTGAAGTAATCCTAATCAAAACTGGAGCAGAGGTTTTTGTGAAAATCAATATGCTGATTCTTGAAAGATAACAATACTAGAAACTATAGGCCAGGCACAGTGGCTTACACCTATAATCCTAGCACTTTGGGAGGCCGACCTGCGCTCAGGAGCTGGAGACCAGACTGCGTAACACGGTGAAGCCCCATCTCTATTAAAATACAAAAAATTAGCTGGGTGTGGCAGTGTGTGCCTGTAGTCAGCTACTTGGGAGGCTGAGGCAGGAGAATCGCTTGAACCTGGGAGGTGGAGGTTGCAGAGGGCTGAGATTGCGCCACTGCACTCCAACTGGGCCACAGAGGGAGACTCTGTCTCCAAAAAAGAAAAAAGAAAATACAACCACCACATATTGAGACTTATGATAAACATATTGAGACTTATGATAAAACTACACAAAGAGAAATTGGCATTGGTTTCAAGGATAGAAACAGACTGATGGAAAAGAATAGAGTCCAGAACATGTATGTGGACACCTGATTATGATAAATCAGGGTACCAGGGAAAGCATGCTGATTTAATTAAATTGTGCTGGGTCAATGCCTTATAGGAAAAAAAAAAAAAAGGATCTTGACTCCTAATACATTATATTACATACAAACAAAAATCAGTTCTACATGGTTTGTAGAGCTAAATGATAATAAACCTTTTAGAAGAAAACAGGAAAAAAACCAAACTGGACACACACACAAACACACTGATAAATGAGTAAATGAGACTAAAAATGATTTGCTTACTTCTTCTGGATGAAAGGTAGGAGGCAAGGTTGGTGACGGTGCAAAAGGAGGTGGAGAGATAACCTTTCTTTCTTCTAGCTGGGCCATTATTTCCTTTCGTCGGCGATGTAGTTCATCTAGACTAGGATGAGGCTGGGGAGGAGGAGGAAGCCGGCTATAAGGTGGTTCCTAAAAACAGAAAGATTAGTTAAAATTGAAAGAGAATTTCAGGACAGATTAATTCGTTTAATATTCAGCATATATTTTAAGTTAAGAAGCAACTTGTAAACCCTTCTTAACATTGGGAAATACCAAGACTTAATAGAACAATGGAAAACAAACCCCCCAAATGCTCAAGATCTTCCAAAGTGCTAAATTTAGGTTTCTTTTATTTAGTCATAATTTCCAAGTAGATCTAGAATTGTTAATTAAACCTTCTGAAGTTCAGAAACTAGAATGGTTAGTTATGGGGAAGGAGGCAGAATTTTCTCATTAGTAAGTTAAAAAAATACCCAAATTATGAAAAGATAAAAAAAGAAGCTCTCTTATAAAAAAGAAGTTATCAAAGGGTTACTGTCATTCCATAGAAAGGAATCACTGCAAGCAATAATCAAATTAAGTCTATGTAATAAGAAAAAAAATGCAGCATACTCTGAGGTACGAAGCTCTGATCCGAGGTGGATGAGGAGCCACTGGATAGTAACTCTCGATCTGTTGGTATCTTTCTCTGGATTCTGGTACATAGGATGGTACTGCTGCAGGTGGAATCTCAATGGGTATAGGGCTTTCTCGGAATATCTCTTCTCTCGTGTACGACTGAGCAGGGTACACTTGACGGCCATCATAGTGAGATGGGTATATAGGTGGGTACTGCTGTGGCTGTGTGCCATACTGAGAGTTTACAACACGATCTTGGAGGTAAGGTGGATAATGATCCAAGTAGGGAGGAGCAGGTTCAGGAGCAGATGGTGGAGGTCTGACAAAGCGGGACACACATTGTGGTGGTGGAGTATAATACATACCTGTACAACATAATAGAAGAATCAAAGGCACTAATGAGCCAATCTAGTTTTCTACATAAGACTTTACCTTTTAAAATACTGAAACACGAAAGTATTGATAATCTAATTTCTTTAGAAGTTTTCCCTCTGCTTATATAATCAGGTTAACTTTAAAAAAAAAATAACAAGCAAAATTACCTGTAAAAGTCATTGAAAAAAGTACCCTACTTAAAATCTATAATAGTAGATTGGCTCTCATTGTTTGACCCTCTTTCTGGTGTGTCTTAATGCAATGAAGACACTTGAAAACAAAAAACTGCATTTCCCAGATATCCTTGAAGTCAGGTTCTACAAATCAACCACTTGCATGAGTTTTGAATTTGAAGCTGAAATAACTGGGAAGAGATAAGGACACAAAAGGCCAATTTTGCTGGTGCAGATTAGTTACTGCTTCGCTCTAGAGTTCTTGAGACAACAGTTGTGGCAATAGTTTCTCAATTTTCGGACTTTTGCCTCAAATGATGTGATCTTGGAATTAAGCAGTGAGGACAGAAAGTTTCTATTTCTACTGCTTCCTCATTGTAACAAGTTCTCCAGCAGCTAGCTCTGGAGCGTTGTTTGCTTCTCTAGGGCCTCCACCAATATGGCAGGCACCTAACTCCTGCACTAAATCTCTTTCTGCTTAATATAGCTCAAATAATTCATCTAAAAGTGAAACCAGGCTATAAAAATGGTTGCATTTTTCCTATAATGGATAGTCAAAAGGAAGACACAAATCACATTTCATCATATTTTGCATGAATTAGTATTGCCATATCAATTAAAAACTATTCTTATGAATGTAAAGACAACATGATTCAAAATTAACTGACAGACTTGGAAAAAGAAAAGAGGGCACTTTTAATCTATTCTCCTTTTAAAAATTATAGTATCATACTGCTTCTGACAGAGAGATCCAAGACGTACAATCATTCAGTATTTTACACATAAATTGTGTATGTAAAACAGTTTATCTTCTTTCCTTCATTCTCCATACCTGGTATTATCATTGAAGCTGGCTAATTTTCAAATCTTTCTATTTTCTAAATCCCTTCTTCTCCTTTCCCACCACACCAATTCCTCAATTCTCACACCAGGATTAACAGTCTCCTAACTCAACTCTCATCTTTCCAATGCATTCATAATTTTTCTTTCTATTCCAAATAGCTTTATTTGGGGCATTTCTTCCACTAAGTCTTTTTGATTCCTCAAGTTCTCAATGATCTCCCTTGAGTCTTTCAGTCTATTTCTACAAAGCTAATATTAACCACAACAACAGATCACTTAATTTTTAAAACATACATAACCACACACATGCATACACTACTCACACATAGAAATAGTTTTCTATTCTTGACCATTATTTATTCTAGTCTGTAAACTCTCTAAAGGTATGTATGCTGCATTTTTTCATATATATTACAGGGTCCAGAAAAATAATAATTAAAAGGAAGGAAAATGTACTATGGTGTTTAATTTACAAACACTACAACATTAATTCTTGGCCAGGCATGGTGGCTCACACCTGTAATCCCAGCACTTTGGAAGGCCAAGGCAGGCAGATCACCTAAGGCCAGAAGTTTGAGACCAGCCAGGCTACCATGGTGAAACCCTGTTTCTACTAAAAGTACAAAAATTAGCTGGGCATGGTGGCATGCACCTGTAATCCCAGCTACCTAGGAGGCTGACGCAGGAGAATCACTGGAATCTAGGAAGCAAAGGCTGTAGTGAGCTGAGATCAGGCCACTGTACGCCAGCACTCCAGCCTGGGCGACAGAGCAAGACTGTTAAAAAAAAAAAAAGTGTGTGTGTGTGTGTGTGTGTATATATATACACATATATATATTTTTTTAATGCTTGAAGAAAATTTTAGTCAGGAGAATATATACTGCCCTACTCAGCAAATTTCCATTGCCTACTTGTGTGACTTGTTATTTCCATAAATATTATATATGAATATGTTTATTAAGCAACTGCTTTTAGTAGATAAGGCAGTTTGATTTTTATTGCTTTGTTTCATTTATTTCATAATATTTAGTAGATCATAAAATCTCAGTTTTTTCCAAAGTATTAAAAAATGCATTTATCTATTTACTTAAGAGGCTGCTGTGTAAAACATCACTCTGATCTGAACGGTTCTCATAACTCCTAAAAAAAGTGAGCAATATAAATGAAAAATAGTTACCCTGCTGATAAGGTGCTGGTTCAAATGGTGGAGCCGCTCCTCGAGGATCCTGATAATAAACATCTGTCTGTTGTGCTGGATATAACTGCGAACCTCGAGGTACCATCTGAAGTGGTTTGGTGACAGGCATTGGAGGCAGATCTGTTGGCCCCCTTGGAGGTATAGGATGTGGATTCACAGGTAAGGCAGAAATACTCTTAGGGACAGATTCTAGCCTAAGGGAATAAGATTATGGAATTTGTTTAAGGTCTTTCAAATTCTCATGTGCATAAACTGTTACAAGTAAAAATGATTGCCACAGTTTGGGAAACTCGCTTATTATAATACTCATCACTTCTACAAAATGTGCAAATTTTTATCTTATTTCCCCTATGCTAATTATTTCTCTCTTTTTTTCCCCCCCTTTTTGAGACAGACTCTTGCTCTGTCGCCCAAGATGGAGTGCAATGATGCAATCTCAGCTCACTAAAACCTCCATCTCCTGGGTTCAAGCAATTCTCATTCCTCAGCCTCCTGAGTAGCTGGGACTACAGGCATATGCCACCATGCCTGGCTAATTTTTGTATTTTTAGTAGAAATGGGTTTCACCATGTTGGCCAGGCTGGTCTCGAACTCCTGGCCTCAAGTGATTCATCCACCTTGGCCTCCCAAAGTGCTGGGATTACAGGTGTGAGCCACCACAGCTAGCCTAATCTAGTGCTAATTCTTTCTTAAAACACACTAGCATGAAAAATAGAAGTAAAAAGCAACAAAATAAAGGCCAAAAAAAAAAGTTTAAAAAAAAAATCCCAAAGATTAATTATTTTCTTTCTTCCTTTGACTTTATAAAAAATAAAATTTGAAATAAGAGTTAGGAAAAAGGACGTACAGGTCAGGAGGAGATCCAGGAGCACTACTGCTCAGATGATCTATTTTTCCTGGTTTTAGACTAGAATCATAGCTGGGGTCTGTCCCTCGTGGAATAAGCTGTGTTACTGTATTCCCTGCTGATACAATTCCATTTGGCAGAGCAGGCGGTTTTCTGTTAGGGAGATCCACTGCACCTTCATCTGGAAGGATAGTTGCTGAAGGCAGGCCCACCTCATTAAGTTGACCCAAAGAGGCACTCAAGGGTCTTCTCGGAACCAGGCGCTTGTTCATTTTGCGAAATCTATATAAAAAGCATAGGCACATATCAAAAAGCAAATATAAAAGCAAAACCAAGAACTAAAATGTACTTAAGAACATTATTTTATAGAAATATTCTCTCTTGAAACATTAACTCTTATCAACCTGAGAACTCAGTGTGTGTATTTTCCATAATATCTCAAGCGGCAAGACATATTGAATAAGTATAAAATTCCTCACTAAAATGTGTAACATAGGCCGAGTGCAGTGGCTCACACCTGTAATCCCAGCACTTGGGGAGGTTGAGGCAGGAGGATCATGAGGTCAAGAGATTGAGACCATCCTGGCCAACATGGTGAAATCCCGCCTCTACTAAAAATACACAAATTGGGTGGGTGTGGTGGTGTGTGTCTGTTATCCCAGCCACTCAGGAGGCCGAGGCAGGAGAATTGCTTGAACCGGGAGGCAGAGGTTGAAGTGAGCTGAGGTCACTCCACTGCACTGTAACCTGGAGGCAAAGTAAGAATATATCTCAAGAAAAAAAGTATAACATTTGTAACATTATAAATTATGCAATTAATATTTTTGCTATAATATACTTCTGTGGACACTTGCATTTCTAAAAGTTATTGGAGAAGCTAGTAGAAAAATCTTCAGAAGACAGTTTCTGAAATATTTTACTTTAACTCGCCCTCAAATGCCCTGGGTGTAGTACAATGAGCCAATGTTAAAAATTAAGAATAAAAGAAAAACAAAGCCAGTATGCACTGTGAAACATTTATCATTCACTCTGTTAAAAAATTTAAGCAGCTAGGCATGGTGGCTCACACCAGTAATCTCAGCACTCTGGGAGGCTGAGGCAGGCAAATCATTTGAGCTCAGGAGTTTGAGACCAGCCTGAGCAAGATGGTGAAACCCTACCTTTACCAAAAATATAAAAACTTATCCGGGTGTGGTGGTGCATGCCTGTGGTGCCAGCTACTGGGGAGGCTGAGGTGGGAGGATCACTTGAGCCCAGGAGGCAAAGGTGAGCCAAGACTGCACCAATGCACTCCAGCCTGGGCAGCACAGTGAGACCCTGTCTTAAAAAAAAAAAAAATTTAATTTAGGCAATTAAGGATAGTGACTTTTATTAGAACTGCTTCAGAGATGCTGATGTTATGTGTGCCAATACAAAATTAAAGTTCTTTTAAAAGTAGGTTAATGGAAACAATACAGAATAATTTCCTAAGTTTAAATAGATGTGTGAAACAATAAGCACATCAATTCTGAAATCTAACCAAAGGAAAAAATATAAGCCAAGAGTCTAGGATCTTTGTTACTCAACAATGAAAGCAAGTCCAATTACAACTGCTAATGCATTTTTATTTTCAAATAAAACACCAGCGGGGTGTGGGGGCTCACATCTGTAATCCCAGCACTTTGGGAGGCCAAGGTGGGCAGATCGCTGAGATCAGGAGTTGAGACCAGCCTGACCAATATGGTAAAACCCCATCTCTACTAAAAATACAAAAAATAGCCAGGCGTGGCAGTGGGTGCCTACAGACCCAGCTACTCGAGAGGCTGAGACAGAAGATTTGCCTGAACCAAGGAGGCGGAGGTTGCAGTGAGCCAAGATCGCGCCACCTACACTCCAGCCTAGGTGACAGAGCGAGACTCTGTCTCAAAATATATATATATATGATTAAAAAATAAATAAATTAATTAATTAAAAAAAATAAAAATAAAACCCCATCAGAGTAATACTGTTTTTCCACATTTCCCACAGCTGACAAATTTTTGGTGGTGGTGGTCGGTAGGGAAGAAAACTACCCTTCAGGGATAATTAGAGTTTGGTATATCAGTATGGAACACTGTTCTTTTATACATTAGCTTTATATTCATATAAGATGATTGTTTGCAAAAGTACAGTCATATATTACTGCTTAGTAATTTTTTCCTCCACTTATACTCTTGGAAATTCCTTTATGTCAGTTCATTTCAGGCTGGTTTTTTCTTTTCTTTTTTTGCTATTAAAATAATGTGCTGGGTGCAATGGCTCACACCTGTAATCCCAGCACTTTGGGAGGCTGAGGCGGGTGGATCACTTGAGCTTAGGAATTCAAGACCAGAATGAGAAACATGGCAAAACTCTGTCTCTATCAAACATACAAAAATTAGCGGGGTGTGGTGGTATGCACCTGTGGTCTCAGCTACTCGGGAGGCTGAGGTGAGAGGATCACTGCAGCCCAGAAGTTAAGGCTTCAGTGAGCCATGATCGCATCACTGCACTCCAGCCTGGGTGACAGAGTGAAACCCTGTCTCAAAAAAACAAATGAGTAAAAAAGTAACAGAGAATTATGAACATGTTCTTGCACCCTGTGTGAATAACCAATGAAGGCAGAATGAGGTCAAAGAACATGCAAATTAGATAGAAATTTTTTTTTTTTTTTTTTTGAGACGGAGTTTCGCTCTTGTTACCCAGGCTGGAGTGCAATGGCGCGATCTCGGCTCACCGCAACCTCCGCCTCCTGGGTTCAGGCAATTCTCCTGTCTCAGCCTCCTGAGTAGCTGGGATTACAGGCACGCGCCACCATGCCCAGCTAATTTTTTGTATTTTTAGTAGAGGCGGGGTTTCACCATGTTGACCAGGATGGTCTCGATCTCTTGACCTCGTGATCCACCCGCCTCGGCCTCCCAAAGTGCTGGGATTACAGGCTTGAGCCACCGCGCCCGGCCCCTTCTTTCCTTTTTTAACAACTAAAAACAAACAAACATAACCTCTCTTACTACTCTGTGGTTTCTTGCTTTCCTAAATATTTAAATCTCTTATATATCTAGAGTTCCTTTTAGTATAAAGATTGAGGTAAGAATCCAGCTCTATTTTTCAAATAGGTGACACTTATTTTCTATCATTCTTTTGGTCACTGATGTGAAATGCCATCTTTAGCACATATGTTAAGCTCCTATATGCATCTCAAGCTCCTCCTAGATTCTCTACTGCATTTCATTCATCTATCTATTCCTATGCAAAACACTATAGTCTTTTATTCACTGCAGTCCATAATGTTAATAGTTATTAGTCTAGTTCTTGTCAAAGACTTCTTTTTCAGAATGTTCTTGGCTATTTGTACCTATATATTCTTTACAAGTGAACTTCTGATAGGACCTTAACATGATCATGTTGAGATTTAAATTAGGATTTTTGGAATGTATTGTTTACAGGAATATAAAATTTTATTTATTTATTTTTTGAGACGGAGTTTCGCTCTTGTTACCCAGGCTGGAGTGCAATGGCGCGATCTCGGCTCACCGCAACCTCCGCCTCCTGGGTTCAGGCAATTCTCCTGTCTCAGCCTCCTGAGTAGCTGGGATTACAGGCACACGCCACCATGCCCAGCTAATTTTTTGTATTTTTAGTACAGACGCGGTTTCACCATGTTGACCAGGACGGTCTTGATCTCTTGACCTCGTGATCCACCCGCCTCAGCCTCCCAAAGTGCTGGGATTACAGGCTTGAGCCACCGCGCCTGGCCAGGAATATAAAATTTTTATAGCATCAAACCTTATGCAAGAACACAGTATGTTTACTCAATATTTCTCTTATGCCCCTAGGTAATTTATTGGTTCAATTTATACACATCCTGATTATTCTTTACAAATTTATTATTTGGTATTTATCTTTTTGTGTTGTTGCTAAAGCAGAAGAAATCTTTAATTTTAACTTATTTTTAAATTGGTTATGTCTCTTTTTAGTTTACATGAGGGCAATTCATTTTTGTGATTTTTAAAATTTGCTCTTACTAAATTCTCATTTCTTTTGTTTCTTGTACTAAAGTTTTTCCCAATAATTTTATAACTATTTGATTCTCTCTTACATACATTAGCTACTATTTCCATAATGTTAAATAATAGAAAATTTTACTACTAATTACTAGCAGAAAATTTTGCCTTATCCTTGACTTCAATGAGACTGAATTAAATATTTTGCTATGGCCAGGCGCGGTGGCTCAAGCCTGTAATCCCAGCACTTTGGGAGGCCGAGGTGGGTGGATCACGAGGTCAACAGATCGAGACCATCCTGGTCAACATGGTGAAACCCCGTCTCTACTAAAAATACAAAAAATCAGCTGGGCATGGTGGCGCATGCCTGTAGTCCCAGTTACTCGGGAGGCTGAGGCAGGAGAATTGCCTCAACCCAGGAGGTGGAGGTTGCGGTGAGCCAAGATCGCGCCATTGCACTCCAGCCTGGGTAACAAGAGTGAAACTCCGTCTCAAAAAAAAAAAAAAAAAATTTTTTTGCTAAGAGCTCATTTTATGTTAGGATATCAGCCCTCTGTATGTCATACTATTATATTGGCTTTTGATTTACAACATGATTTATTACCATGTTGAGAAAGTATATTTCTGTTGTATTACGTAATTTTAATTTTTAATTGACATTCAATTCCTTTGTCATTTTTTGGATATGATCATGTTATTTTCTTTTTTTTTCTTTCTTGAGACAGCGTTTCGCTCTTGTTGCCAAGGATGGAGTGCAATGACACGATCTTGGCTTGCTGCAACCTCCGCCTCCTGGGTTCAAGTGATTCTCCTGCCTCAGCCTCCCTAGTAGCTGGGACTACAAGCATGCGCCATCATGCCCAGCTAATTTTGTATCTTTAGTAGGGACAGGGTTTCTTCATGTTGGTCAGGCTGGTTTCCAACACCTGACCTGAGGTGATCCACCCGCCTCAGCCTCCCAAAGTGCTGGGATTACAGGCATAAGCCACCACACCTGGCCCAATCATGGTATTTTTCTAAGTTATGATCATTATGTTGTACCACTTTTACACTGAGTCACGGCATCCACTGTCTTCTTTTTCAAAAATTATATTATTCATACTAAAAAAAAACAAAAAACAAAACCTACAGCACCCAATATTCCCAGGTAGTCTCCCATCCAAGTACTAACTGAGCCTGACCATGCTTAGCTTCCAAGATCAGATGAGCTCAGGTGCATGCAGGGTGTTACACTCATAGACATGGCATCTATTTTAATGTATTATTGAATTATATTTAAATTTTTGAGATTTTTAATATTAATATGTGCAATAGATTTGCAGTTTTCTTTAATTGTGTTATCTTTGTTAAACTTAATGGCAATGTTACATCGGATTTATAAACAAATTAAGAGTTTGTATGTGGGTGTGGTGGCTTCTGCCTGTAATCCTAGCACTTTAGGAGGCCAAGGCAGGAGGCTCCCTTGAGCCGAGGAGTTTGAGGCCACAAGTATTTCAAATTTTGTATTTTTCTTGGATTTTGGGATATTTGCATATGCATAAGGAGATGTCTTGGGGATAGGACCCAAATATATAACAGGAAATTTATTTATGTATCATATATATCTTTTACACATAGTCTGAAAGTAATTTTATACACTATTTTAAATAATTTTGTTCATGAAGTTTTGACTGCTATCTGTCACAAAGTCAGGTGTGGAAATTTCGACTTGTGGTCTCAAGTCAGCTTTCAAGCACTTTTGGATTTTGGAGCATTTCAGAATTTCAGAAGAGGAATGCTCAAGCTGTGTTACATACTAAAACTTTCTCATTTGTTGAAGATAAAACACCTGCTCTTTCTGTATTTCTCTATGTCAGCAAATTATTCTACTTAGATCTTATTCCGAAGTCTCCTGACTTTCACACTTACTTTTCCAGTTCCTCCTGTGAGTGTGCAAACGTACAGCTGGCCCCACGAGGGCATCCTCCTCTCTGCTTCATATCTCGACACATGTATGTTTTGTATTTGCTATGCTGTGGAGGCTAAAACCAAAATCAAAACATTAGATATGTAATAACCCCTCACAAAAAACATAAATTTTGTGTTGTCATTTTAAGATCTTGAGAATTTAAAGAAGTAATTCACACGCTTATTTAGATAACTAAGAGCCAAAGTGCTGGAAAGGCTAAAGCCTCAGAGAGTTCAAATATATATAAAGCAAAAACAAAGAAGGTAGTCCTAGTTTTTCTGATATGTTGATATTAATTCTCAAACGTTTAAGTAGCATTATGTAAATTCTTGAATACATCTCATGGGCATTCTTTGTTTTATACGGAAAAAAAATCTCATGAGGGCACTATGATCTCATTTCCACATTTTTTTTTTTTTTTTTGGGACTGAGTTGCTCAGGCTGGAGTGCAGTGGTGTGATTTTGGTTCATTGCAACCTCCGCCTCCCAGGCTCAAGCAATTCTCCTGCCTCAGCCTCCCGAGTAGCTGGGATTACAGGTGTCCACCACTCTGCCCAGCTGATTTTTGTTTTTTAGTAGAGATATGGTTTTACCATGTTGGCCAGGCTGGTCTTGAATTCCTGGCCTCAAGTGATCCACCTACCTCGGCCTCCCAAAGTGCTGGGATGACAGGCATGAGCCACCACGCCTGGCCCATTTCCACATTTTATAATGAAAAAAACAAACCACTGTAGTTTAAGACTTTCAAAGATATAAATTATCCTCCACAATACAATGTTCAATATAGCTATATGTATGTCTCCTTACAACACACCACAAAAACTACAAAAGGCCCTATTATCAAATAATACTCTGTAACCAAATATTCTGTAACTAAGTCTTGAATAATATACCAAGGACTTAAAATATCTCCAAAAGTACAAATAAGACTTACTATTTACAACTCGAGGATAAGGCAAGAGGATGGAATTGAAAGTTAATGAAATATGAGACACAACACTAAACTGGACAAAATTTAGTTTGTTTTATCACCATATGGCAAACTTTAAAGGTTAGTCTTGTTACTTTTGTTATTTTCTTCAAGATGTCTACTGAAACAGAGAGTTAAAAATTCTGGGTTCTTGGCCGGGCGCGGTGGCTCAAGCCTGTAATCCCAGCACTTTGGGAGGCCGAGGCGGGTGGATCACAAGGTCAAGAGATCGAGACCATCCTGGTCAACATGCTGAAACCCCGTCTCTACTAAAAATACAAAACATTAGCTGGGCATGGTGGCGCGTGCCTGTAATCTCAGCTACTCAGGAAGCTGAGGCAGGAGAATTGCCTGAACCCAGGAGGCGGAGGTTGCGGTGAGCCGAGATCCCGCCATTGCACTCCAGCCTGGGTAACAAGAGTGAAACTTCGTCTCAAAAAAAAAAAAAAAAAAAAATTCTGGGTTCTCCTTTCTTTTATGCCTAATCATAAAGCTCTGACCTGTGTTTAGATAGGTTAGGAAAATCATACCCAGATTACTCTACTTAGCAGGACACTTTATAATTCTTTCCTCAAGCAAAAAGGAATACTGAAAAATCTATTACTATTTACCTGAGACAGGTAAATTAAGAGTTTTAAGTTCACAGGCTTACTACTGCAAAAAAAAGATCTAATAATCCTAATATAAATCCTAAGGGCAAAATAAAATTACTGGGAATAAAATGTAAAACTCCAGCTATGTTATTATATTCTACTGCTGTATTTCATTTAAAAACTTTGAGGAAACTTTGGCCCACTGGCATAAGAGACATTATGAATGAAAAAAATCTTAAGGTATTAATATAAGAATATCTATAGAAACTTGAATAGTATTGGAAAGATACAGTATCAGCACTAAAAAGTGACACATCGTCAAACCAAAATGTAAAACAAACTAATGAGAATAATAATCTTACATAAATGGAACAAACTTCAGCACTCAATCTATTTTCTCCATCAAATGTTGCCATATCCAATGTGAAGACTGACTCTAGCACAACATCAGATCAATAAGGATTATTTAATGTCAATATTATCAGATAAAATCACCAGGCCAATGCAGTAAACTGTTAACCATGCCAAGGTAATTTATAGTTTCTACAGTCAGAGTCTCAAAATATTCATGTCCTCTTTCTGGCTTTGTATCTGTAGGTATACCCACAGCGGTTTACCTATAATTTTAAGGCACACTCATGGTAGGTTAACTCTAAGTTTTAAACAGTTTCCTTACCTGCTGCTGATCTGCTCCTTTTTTGCTGTGGTTCTGGATATAATCAACCAGCCCATGTACCACTGTACGCACAGCAACCAGCCCATTTTCCAGCTGTTCCCACGTAGGAGGAGGAGCATCTATACAACCAATAATAATGTTTTAAACTCTAAGTTACTCAATATTTTTCCCAATATCAAATTAATAAAAGAGTTAGTGGATAACATTTCAGTGAAACCAAGTTAAGCTTTACACCTTAGCGTTTTAGGTGACAGCTTATTCTACCTAACCATCATTTCCCAGTTTTAAAATGTTGGCATCTAACCAATTTAGAACATTGCTCAGACCATCACTGTGTGGACCAAACAAAACTGAGGACTACCTGTAGTTAGTCAATTTGCATGTTTATTTTGAAGGTTTATATAAATCAAGTTTTGGTAAACAAAAAGCTTAAAACGTTTAATAGAGGAGCTATTATATAAAGCAACTCTGCTACATGTCTTCATTTAGTAGATATGTGCTCAGTGCCAGCACTACGTTTCATAAAGAAAAAATTATCTGTAAGGCTAAATATAAAATATTCTTTAAAAGGAACATATAAAATGAAATAAAAAGAGAGAAGTAGAGATAACTTCCTGTACAGACACCCTGGAAGAATTCTAGGTGATGGCATTTGAACTGGGCTTTGAAGGACACATAGAATCTGAAAAGGAAAAAGGTGAAGAGAACAACTATTCAAAAAAGTAGTTTTTGGAACATTTACTAAATCTGAGTTATTGTTTTAGTGGTTGGGGAAGCAATAGCAATTAAAACAAAAATCCCCATTATATTCAAGGAGAAGAGCCAGAGAATAACCAAGACAAATAAGTGAAATACAGAGTAGTATTTAGATAATGATGAATTGAAAAAGTAGAGCTAAGAAGAGAAGTGGGGCCAACATGTAAAATTTTAGAGCAAGGCCAGAAAAGTCCTCCTTGAGAAGGTTACATTCGATTAAAGACCTGAAAGAAGGGTTTAAGAGTGCCTACTGGAGATATTAGGGGAAAAACATCCAAGTTAGGGGGAAGAATAAGTGCAAAGTCCTTGATGTGGGAAGTGTGACTGGCATGTTGTGTGGAGGTGGAACCAGAGAGGAGGGAATTAAATGAAAACAGAGTAGGAAATGAGGCTGGAGAGAGGTAATGGAAGACCAGACCACATGAGGCCCTGTACATCACAGGAAAGATTTTGGCTTTTACTCTGAGTGCTAGAGAGCCACTGGAGAATTTATGAGGGGAGGTGATAGGATTACCCTGGCTCTTGGTAAAATCAGACAGACAATAGGAGGCTATTCCATAATCCACGGAGAGATGGGGATGGTAGCAGTGAAGGCAGATGGATTCTGGATGGATTTTAAAGGTAAGGCCTACAGAATTTGCTAATGGATCAGATATATATTATGAGAAAAAAGAAGAGTTGAGGTTTTTGGACTAAGCAACAGGAAGGATAGAGATGCCACAAACAGGATGACAGGGAAGAGATCATTTCTGGATAGATTCAGTTTGAAATGCTTATCAGATATTGAAGTAGAGATGATGGATGTTGAGAAAGTTTTATGAACAAATTCAGAAAAAAGGCATGTGCTGGATATATATTTCAAACTCCAAAAACCTATCAATTGTAACACATATTTTATGTGCCACGAAAGAAAAAAAAAGATTGTTAATTACGTCTTTGTACAAATGCATTCCAATTTCAGAAATGCTAAGATCTGAAATAATTATAAACCTCAGAACTGATAAAATACAGTAAATTTGTGAGTCACATAAATTATATTTGAAAATATGAGACAGATAAGATTATCTAGGAAATAGGGACACACAGAAAACAGAAACGGTATAGGATTAAACTCTGAGAACACTCCAAAGATGATAAGATATGGAGATGAGGAGAAAGCAGAGGATGCTGACAAGGAGTATCCAGTAAAGTAAGAAGGGAATTAGTAGCCTAGAAACCAAGAAAAAAGCATTTCAAGGAGGATAGAGTGAAGAACAATGTTGGCCAGGCACGGTGGCTCACACTTGTAATCCTAGCACTTTGGCAGGCGGATAACCTGAGGTCAGGAGTTCAAGACCAGCCTGGCCAACTTGGTGAAACCCCATTTCTACTAAAAATACAAAAATTAGCTGGGCATGGTAGTACATGCCAGTAATCCTAGCTACTCAGGACAAGAATTACTTGAAGCTGGGAAGCAGAGGTCACAGTGAGCTGAGATCGTGCCACTGGACTCCAGCCTGGGGGACAGAGTAAAACTCTGTCTCAGAAAAAGAACAATGTTAAATGCTGCCAAATCAAGTACATTAAGAACTGAGAACTGACCTTTGGAATTAGCTACATGGAAGTAATTTATGACCTTGATGAAATAAGTTTGCATAGAGCAGTGGAGATAAATGTCTGACTGGAGCTGAGTTCAAGAGCGTGCCATATAAAGAAATGAAGTAGGAGGTGGATGAGAAATGGGGTCAAAAACGGATTAGGAGCTTGTGGAAGTACTCTTTTGACTGCTCAGGATGATCGAAGCACAGCAGTCGAGGGAAAAAAAATCACTATATATTCAAGTAACATTGATCTGGTTTATGAAGCAATTTTGGGAGCAAATCTATAAAAGCAGGCTAATAAAAAACTAAGAGGGCTCTGAATGCATAGTGAAGGGTGTCAAACCTTATTCTATAAGCAATTCTATAAACACTGAAAATTTACGAGTGTGGAAGCAAGATCAGGAATGTGATTTATTTTACAGCAGTAAGTAGACTGGATTGCAGGAACTCATAGAGGAACTTGGAAGACATTCAGTTTCAGGGAAAGGGAATGAGGCTCTCAGAGGAAGTAATTATAAGCATGGCATATAGGGACATTGTGAAAGAAGAATAGATAAATCCTATTATATGAAACGGTATGTAGAGCAAGTGAAAGGAAAAGATGAGGCAAGACAAAATTAGGTTTTAAACTTGCATACTCAGATAATGAGGTCATTATCAGAGACAGGAAACATTAGAGGAAGAGCAGGTATCAATTAATGATGAGCTTGCTTCGAAGCACTCAAAGAATCTCAGTAAGCATTGGGAGATGTATCTGGAGTGATACAGAGATAACAGTGATAGAGATATTTAGCAGGCTGTATTCAATGCAAAGGTAATATCTGATACTAAGAATGAATAACCACCATCAGAGGACACAAAGAAGGCAAAATTCTAAGAGCATAACCTGGCTACTTTTTAGCGGGGAAGAGGGCAAAGCCTGGTACAAATAACACAGAAGTAGCATTCAGGTCAGAAGAGAACTATGAGATCACAGAAAGTTATCAAAAAAGTGCTCAACAACATTATCAAATGCTGAAAACAAATGAGAGTGATTTAAAGACTAAGAAAAAGCTTTTGGACTCAGAAACTGGGAATCTACTAGCGAATATTAAGATAGCTTCTTATCAGTAGTAGGCATAAACACAGAAAAGCTAAGATATCTTAGATTTAAGTATAAAGTGAAAAATGAAAGTTGGGTATATTTTCAGGTTAAGAAGGAGCAGAAAAAGCCTGAATAAGTAAAGATATACAAGAGAGGATACTTCAAGGAACAAAAGATCATGGAGAGGGCAAAAACAGGATCAAGGAAATGCAACTAAGGTTATATAATGGAGAAAAAAAATGAGAAAAACAAGATTTGGCAGAGGTAAGAATGGTAAAATACAACACAATTTTGTGATAGGAGAAAGAAGAAACATAAAGGGGACCAGAGAGATCTACTGTCCTGATGAAATGAGCAACAATGTAAAAAGCATTAAATAAATAATTAAAGTGAATTAGGCTGGGCGCAGTGGCTCATGCCTATAATCCCAGCACTTTTGGGGGCTGAGGTGGGTGGATCACCTGAAGTCAGGAGTTTGAGACCAGCCTGACTAACATGGAGAAATCCTGCCTCTACTACAAATACAAAATTAGCTTCCTATGCAAGACCCCCAAAATAAAAATAAAAATAAAAATAAATACAAAATTAGCTGGGCATGGTGGCACATCCCTGTAATCCCAGCTATTTGGGAGACTGAAGCAGGAGAATCACTTGAACCTGGGAGGCGGAGGTTGTGGTGAGCTGAGATAGCGCCATTGCACTCCAGCCTGGGCAACAAGAGTGAAATTCTGTCTCAAAAAATTAAATTAAATTAAATTAAAAAAATAAAAATAAAGTGAACTAACCTGAGATAAAGTGGAACAAGATTTAAAATGGAAATTTAAAATACTGTAAAAAAGATCTGGAGTAACTACTTTGGGAAACCCTAGAGGAATAACAAAAGATAATTAAAGAATCATTGCGCAGCACTAAAGGCACATATAAGATAGTCCATTAATTTCCTGTGGGTTTACCTGGACTAGGGTCAATGTTTGCTAACAGCTCCAAATGGGGTCTTAGTCGGTTCAAGTTTGCTGGGTCTCCAGTCCGCTGGAGAGCAATTGTTAGTTCCTGAACACTCTGTGCAAAAGAGGCTGGTGTCTGCAACTTAAAAAAGATAAATGTTTACTTTCCCAAAGGCCAGATAATCGTTTAAAGATAATTTATCTCACAATCATTTTTGCGATTTATTAAATTTAATTTTCATCTTCCCATACACCCTACACTTTGGCCAGACTAGATTACTTGCTATCCAAGTAAATTCTGTACTTCTCTGCATCCACAGCCTGGCATATTGTATACTGTACTGCTTCTGCTGTCACATTCTTCAAATGTGAGCCCTCTCTCAATTCAGCCTCCCATCAATTAGATATTTTAATGAGTCATCTTTGTGAATTGTTAATTCATGTTTCTCTCTCCATTAATTAACTAGAATTAGTGCTTTTTCTCATCATTCTTAATAAATTCTTTTGCATTATCCAATACGGTAACCTTAGCAACACATGGCTATTTAAATTTAAGTTAATTAAATAAAATAAAAATTTCAGTTCATTGGTTGAACAAGTCACATTTAAAGTGCTTAAAAGCTATGTGTGACTAGTGATCACCATATTGGACAGTGCACACATAGAACATTTTCATGATCACAGAAAGTTTATTGCTCTATAAAATATCACACAAAGTTTACCAGTTGTACAAAGGTCTCTGGATATTAAATTTAAGGCATTGCACATGATGCAAGAAAATTACTGTAGGATATACACCTAGTTATACAGTTCAGTTCAGACAGGAAGATTAACACCTTGTAGAATCTTTATAAAAAGCAAGCCAAGTTTCTCTTCAGAAGTAGAAAGGTACTCCTTTAATAGATCATTACTAAGGGTTTCTGTAAATTATAATCAGTTGCAAAACTTCAGATACAAGGTCTTATCCAAACCTAAGAGTTGCAGGTAAAGTCTAGTTAAAGGTATCCAGGGAAGACTTATAGGACAGAACAAACAACCTACATTGTAACTGAAAATTATGTACCATCTTTTTTTTTTTCCCTAAAGAGATAGGGTCTCACTCTGTTGCCCAGGTGCTAAGATAGCTCACTGTACCCTCAAACTCCTGAGTTCAAGGGATTCTCTTACCACAGCCTCTGGGACTACTGGCACCAGCCACCATACCTGGCTATTTTTTTTGTTTGGTTTGGTTTTTTGGTAGAAATGGTTATCACCAATCTTTCCCAGGCCATGCTTGAACTCCTGGCCTCAAGCAATCCTGCCACCTTGGCCTCCCGAAGTGCTGGGATTACAGGCATGAGCCACTGTGCCCATCCTACACCAAGCATTTAAAAAACACATTTCCCAATTCTCTTTTGACATCTGTATTGCCCATTCAAGGAATTCTATCT